AAGAACTTTCAACCCCTCCCAGCTTGGTATTATCTGCAAACTTAATAAGCGTACTTTCTATACCAATATCTAAATCATTGATGAAGATAGGGTAGGTCTACACTACCACCCTAGTTCGAAGTAGGGTGGTTAATGTAGGCAACCGAAGTTGCAAATGAAGTCCGGGATTTGAATTTCCCGGGCTTCATTTGCATCTTGCCGGGTGCCGCCATTTTTAAATCCCCACTAGTTCGGACTCCGTGCCCGCAGCTACACGCAGCACAAACTAGGTAGTTCGGATTAGGCTTCCTATTCCAAACTACCTGTACACCTTGTTCTACAAGGAGTAATGGTAGTTCGGAATAGGAAGCCTAATCCAAACTACCTAGTCCATGCCGCGTGTAGCCGCGGGCACGGAGTCCGAACTAGTGGGGATTTAAAAATGGCGGCGCCCAGCAAGATGCAAATGAAGCCCGGGAAATTCAAATCCCAGGCTTCATTTGCAACTTCGGTTGCCTACATTAACCACCCTAGTTCGAACTAGGGTGGTAGTGTAGACATACCCATATTGAACAGAGCTGGTACCAAAACAGACCCCTGCGGAACCCCACTTGTTATACCTTTCCAGCAGGATTGTGAACTGTTAATAACTACTCTCTGAGTACGGTTATCCAGCCAGTTATGCACCCACCTTATAGTAGCCTCATCTAAGTTGTATTTGCCTAGTTTATTGATAAGAATATCATGCGAGACCATATCAAACCATTAATAACTACTCTCTGGGAACGGTAATCTAGCCACTTATGCACCCGCCTTTTAGTAACCCCATCTAGTTTGAATTTGCCCCTAGTTTACTGATCAGAAGGTCATAGATTCTAAGGTCCAAAGGGCCCTTTTTAAACATTTAATCTGACCACTGGGCCGGAGACTTTCCCCAGAATGATTCCTGGAGGAGATTTTTCAGGAAAGATTTTTTTACTAGCAGGGCTAGACAAACCCTTGTCAAGAGCAGGCAGGAGGATAATTATTCTGGCCATAAGTGCAGGGTGTAGTAGTAGGAGGGGCAGAATCAGAAGCCCTGGTGTGAGGCCTGAGACCTGGGCACGAGGATCAGGACTTTGCCAATGTGCAGCGTCAGGAAGCTGTGAGCCAGAGGCAGGCCCGGCTCACAGAGCATGGCAGGAGCAGGGCTACTGGGTAACACACTGAAGGGGGCTGGCGGGACATCCCGGAAGAGTCGTACCAGAGCACCCTGTGTGGTAACAGCTTTGTACCAACAGCCCTCACACACACACACACATTCACATATACACACACATACATGCACACACAGACACACATAGATACATACACACACAGACACACAGACAGACACACATGCCCACGGACACACATACACAGACACACACCCACATGCACACGCATACACACACCCACATATACACACACACACCTACACACACACACCAGCCCACGTTCAGGACAGGGTGTAGACTGACCACCTAGCACACAGTGATCCGATCTCTGCGCACAAGGCCAGGCTGGTAGTGAGATGATGCCAGAGGGTGACAGCAGGAGCGGTGTGTGACTTGTTTGGACCTGTGCATGACAATGTGCCCTCCGGGACTCGTCTTTCTCCAGCCTGGAGACCACGTGACCGTCTGAGCTGAGTGCATTGTCCGGTGCACGGACCTGGGGAAGCCACGACCAGGCTTCATGGAACCGCATTGTCATGACCGCAGGGTAGTTCAGTCCCTGCACCTGCGCCCACCTGCAGGGCGGCCCCTGCTGCTCCCATTGGCCAGGAGTTGCCACCAATGGGAGAGGACAGGACGGTGCCTCCACGTGCAGGACAGCACGGTACCATTTGTTCCCCCCGCCAAACGGGAATTGTGCCAGAGATGCACCCCAATCCCCTGAACCTTCCTGCACCCTCCCTCCCTTCAAAACCCAGAACCATGACCCCTCCTGAACCCTCCAGTGCACCCCCACCATCCCTGTGTCCCAGCTCCCGCAGGAGCACCCTT